AAACCGGAATACGTACAATTTTGCATTTAGACTGTAATATCAGCATTGTAGGATTTGCATAAATCAGCCAATGCTACGTCTGCTGTTCATAAGTATTTTTTAAAACGGTGATTTCGTGTTCGTCACATTTTGGTAGGCGAGTGGGCAAGCTTACGAGCCGTATTCTAAAATTAAGAGTTGTACGTTAATTGGAGACGTTACATATAACTTAAGTAAGTATTAAAGTATTACAAAACACTTTTTCTTACTACTTACAATATATTTTACTCATTATTATTTATAAAATATAATACATAATAAAATATTAAGTGTTAAATTTCGTTTGTCTAAAAGCCTATAAAATATCAAAAATATTTTATTAGGGCATTTCTGAACACAATCACAACGAGATCCATTATCTTTTCCTACACTTAACCTTTTTATGAAAGTGACAACAAAAAGATGGCGGTCGCAGTAAAGCTGCAATCTCGTATCGCTTGCCAACTCCTGGATTTATCTCATATGTTTCAATGATACAAACAGGAAGATATAGAACCGTAGGACTGAAATAAGTGCAAAATTTCATATATGATCGTAAACAGTGACTGAAGATGGAACATTTTTATTTTGCAATGTATTAAAACAGGCGTTTAAACATTGACTTAATAAAGTCAACAAGTTTACGTGATCGAAGCATCGAGTATTCGTAATATAACACATTCTGTGTTTACTTAACATTATTTGCCGAAGTAAGCACTTGTATGCATTATGTGGTAATATCGCGTGTAGACAAAGTACAGAGAGTCCTAGATTAGGTAATTAAGCGGTTAGGACTTGTAAAAACTTTTTAATATCTAGCTAACTCGCATGTAAAATTCTACGGACTCACAAATTAACCACTTCGGCTTTAAAGACTCATGTGATAGGTATGTTAATTGATATGCATCCCATATCACAAATACCAATTTAATTTTACATAAATTTTCACATTACGGACAAGTATGTTTTACATACTTAGCTCTTTAAAGAATCATCCGACAACAGATAATATATAATTTATAGAGTTCAGAAAAGGTATTTAAATAAAAATCAAACCAAACTCCTCTACAGCTACATCATTTCTATAGCCATTACAACGCCAATATACAGTCATATAACTCATCAGAAATGAAGTAATAGCCGCGCATGTCGCCGCAGAGAAAATACGGCCCGGACTACTAGTGTTAGCATTGCTTTGGCCGCTCATAACTTACGCCAATACTTATGCAGCGAAATCATAACCACAACACGAACAACGAGATTGGCCGAGGATGCAGGCGCGTGCCGAGTTGAACGACCACGCGGCGCGGGCGCGGGCGCCAGAACCACGCGCGCGTTTCACTTTCATCGCATCCCGCCGGAGCCGACTGCTCCGAGTAGAGACTGGCGTCACTGCCAACAGCAATGACGACGCGTCAGCTGCGGCTGTGCGCCTCGATGAGAAAGCACAGGTACAGATTTAAAGTGTAATACAAATAAATAGGTACTACTACTATCTCACTGGTTACCATGTTCCGCAACTTTCGTCGTAATCTTTTTTAAAGAATGGCAATGAAATTGACAAATGATTACGAATGCGATTGTTATATCCTGTGGCAAACTTTATAAAATAAACGACAACCAATAATCATTTCATGGGCAAATACTACTGATAATAACACAAAATAAGATCATCATGATCGTACGTATCCTACAGCAACAGGTCATAAATTATAGAACTGTTCCAAAGTTCCAGAAAGTTTGTAACTGAAAAAAACGTTGAGTTAACAATGTAGTAACATGTTTTAGAAACTCGCCTTTTATCTTTCTCTGATCGAGCTCAATAACAGACATTTAACCTCTGGTCACTTTCGCCAGCAAAAGATTTCATTGATTCGAAACTTACTATACCGACATTCCATGACTTTGGCCGCACGGCTGTTTAGTGAGTGAGCGCACTATAATTCTGAAGAAACCGGTCTACGTGCGTAAAACTGTCAGTTGATACAATAATTGCATAGTTTTGGGGGCCTATTCCGATGTTTATTGGTAATTAGCAAGTCGGCCTTATAGATTCCTTAAAATGTATTCAAGAATGTGACACAACAGCAACCTTTTTAAAAATAACTAAAACAAATTGGTCAATGACTGCAGACCTTTAAATAAATGCAGGAAGTGATACGGGCTTGAGTATACACATTACCCCTGTTTACGTTACCGGCTGTTTGTTTACATTTATTTCGGTATCTAGCTGTAATAAAAACCAATACCTCATTCCCATTTATGCATTCACATAACAAGAAATTTTAATGAGAAGTATTAAGTTCCCACGACAAATGTGCATATACTTTTATGAGGTGCCGAGTTAATGATGCATAAAATTCGAGAATACTTGATGGTAAATTAATACATACTACATGTACATGCATGCTTATTACGCCTGATATCAAGAAGCGAGTAAAACTAAACCTAAAATGAATATATTATGCATTTTACCTTACATTGAGCAACATAATTGGAAACTGAAAGTCATTGAATATTTCCTGCTTATAGGCAAAAATGTTTCTACATTAGTGTTACTAGGGTTTGCCTAATAGGTTAGTAGTACTTGCATGTCACATTTGTCTGCTCAATCAAAAAAATATGTATACCTATAATTAATGCTGGCAATTTTTTTATGTATTTCCTTCACATCGTTTCCAAGACTAATTAAATTACATAAATCAATAATAAGCTTGATCGTATTACACGAACCCAATTAACACGTTAAATAATCAAATATATTATTAACTAATATTAGAGTAGGCTTATATAATTATCATAAAAAATCAAACAATTTTCTTGTTTTCCTTTTCAAATACTTTAACCCGGCTAAGAGGAACCAGTCACGCAAATTACACGGCCTTAATGCGAATAGAAATTACTTCCTTCCTAAGAAGGTCATTTCCATAGGCAGTCAACACTAGTTCCAGCAGGCTAATTAAGAAAATTAAAAATTAGTCTTCAATTTTTAAACAAATTATGGCTGATAAAAGACCCTCCCTTGAAGTGCGACATACGCGACAAGAATAAAAGAAGAGAGAATAATTAATGCGTTGTGCAAGTTCGTAGGAAATTAACTACCATCGAGGTGACCTCAGAAAGTACAGAAAAGATTTGTTACTAAGTCACAAATGAATTATCCCCTTGCTTGTAGAACAATATACTCATTAGAGTACCCGAGCAATTCGTGACAGAGTTACATTGGTCACCGTTGAAAGAAACACCCCATAAAGTCCTGTCCCTGGTGCAAGGTAAGCTTGACAGTCGTAAATAATCTGCTTCCGACGCGATGGGGACTTTATATGGTAGGGAGCCGTTAATACTCTTTTGGGCATGTTGTGCTTCATAAATCATATGACACTAAGTCATGCCTTATTTTTATTATGTTTGCAGTGACTCAGTTATTTGCTTGGCCCACCTCAGCGAAATGTCAATAGAAGGCTAGAAATGTAACACGATATTTATTTGTTTTATTTTGCGGGTTTGCTCGTAGATATGTGTAGCTTCACAAAGCTTAGAAAGGTTAAATTTCAAATCCCTTGAGGATTATTTCGCTAACATCACTATACGTATAAACCGACGGAAGTGATAAGATTCCACATGTTTGCTTATGCAATTGTACTACCACGTACCTTTCCCTACGATTTCGAAAAAAAACCCTTGAATTGACCGCATCTGATTCAACAGACTTTATGTATAAAATCATAAAGAATTCGAGCCAATAATAGCTTACGATTTAGTAAATTAATAAAGTTTACATGATCAGGGTAGTAGGTTTTATTGTATTTAACAAAACAGCATGACCATAAATCATTCCAAATCATTAGCAGAGCTACCTACGCAAAGAGCTGGCCTTGTGACATTGCAGCCAGCAATCCTCTGCACTGATTGTTTGATGAGTAAGGTGAGTCATGAACCGGAGAACACGCTGACATTGCAAACACAAACTTCAATAAATAAATGTGCTAGACATTGACTTACAAGTCAATGGTGCTAGACAATAAAACTCTGGTACCAAATTAAACAATTCAATATACTGAGTACCAGAGTAACAATAACTCCAAGGGCCATGCTAAAACAAAAGCATGCATTTCCATGCATGCTTTCTATTAATGTTTTAAGGGAAACTCCTATGTCCTTCCTTAATTGATTGTGACGAATGATTTCCTTCTTATTCAATCAACATTTATACATTCAGATGTTTAATTTTATCGAAAAGTATGACGTCCCAGGATTTAGCAAACAGGCGGAAATACCAAAACAAAGCTTTAGGGGAATTAACGGAAGCATAAATATTTATTCAAAACTGCATGAAGATTTTCAAATAGAGTTTACAAACACTCACAAAAGCGGGTTTCATAATAACGTGTCGTTAATTTCGTTATCAGCAAAACGTTATTGGAAATTCATTGTATGAAATTATTGAATAATGACATTCCATGCAGTTACGAATGGAAAAAATGCAAGGGCAATGAAGAAAACCGTAATAAAGAATCTTCGAAGTAAGGTATTGTAAAATATGCCTTATGTTGAATGTTTAACTACTTTCTTGGACTTAAATGTAGATAAAATTAAATAACTCAGCTTTAAATATTTAAATTTGCGTACAAGTTACCACCAGATTGCCTACGGCTCTCTTAGAAGTTGATCGACACAGTGTTCCAATGCACTTAAAAGAGACTGAAAATAGTTTGACATCTGTCTACGAACCAGACTTTAATAAGCATCACAAATACGAGGAACTTATAAGGAATACAGAACGATTCTTAAGAAGAAGTCCATTAAAGTTGTCGGGAGCGAAAACTTTAAAAACAACCAGTATCGATTCGTGCCGCCGCCAGTCCACCGACAGTAGAGCTATTTGCACATTGCTAAACTTCACGCTTTATTAGTTAACGACTGCGCTACGCAATGATAACGTGTACACAATACATATATGAATTGTAAAACAAGAAACATACCTACTAACTATTTACGAAACACCATTTATAGAAGCACAACATAGAGCATAAAGATCCGTTTAATGAGTTACAATCAAAATAATGAACACGTATGACATATACAACACTGCGTTTGTTTACACTTGACAGTTTTCATGAGTGAGTCAACCTCTGCGGCTCCTTTGTTTGTTTACATCTGCAACGTGACGAACACAAAAACCATTAAAAACGTGATACATTCGCGACCCGACAGAGGCTTTCCGCATTAACTCGAAGCGTGTAAGCGTCGCGGTCGCCGATCGTTTACTGTCAGACGGCGAATCGTCCGCCGACGAATGAATTTCCCTATTAGTAAAGGCATTACACAAACGACACTACATCCATCCATGCTATTTGTCTTAACTACGCAATCGAAACCCAGAGGCCGTGAAGATTTAGCATATTGAAACTATGAAATTGGAGTTAATGGAATATAAAATGCTATTAGTGGTGACATCGTGCTATACATTCACAGATTTGTTTTTTACATCTGGACATGACTGTAGATCTGCAAAGCTCATGACAAGATAATTTTTCTGATAAAACATTGTTAAATACAAAAGAAATAAAATCATTTCAAGTGCTTTGAATAAATAACTCAATAGTTCTAGCTACAGGACTACATCCAATGCCAAAGTCAGGGCAGGGCTTCTTCTTTACAGAAATACGTAAAACTCGTCTTAAAGGAACTGCCTGCAGCAAACAATCAAACTAAATACCTAGTAAGCATAAGGAATACCGAGGGAGCATGTAGCAATATCCTGGGGCGATCAACTGATCTCATGTTACGGCAAACCGACGCCGAACTGAGCACAGGAAATGTATAACAGACGTATAGTGATACCTCGTAAATGACACCAGCACACGGTACCACGTGCTCATTGAGTTCTAACCAGCGATTACATTACGAAATAATTAATACTCGACTCGGCATGCAGCCACTATTAACAAGTCTAAACGGATCTCGGTTAAAATAAAAAATTGTACGTTTAAATGACGAAGGCGACACGCGACGCAATTCGTTTAAAATAAAAAAAAAAACTTGAAAAGTATATTGTATGCAACGTTGATAGAGCGTTCTGTACTAATAACCACAATAAAAATGTTTTAACAGTTATTATGTGCGCATACATAAAAGTTAAGCGCGGTTGAGTATCGAATACAATTAATTACTTTCAACAACGATACGTTTAGTAAATGCGTGAAAAATATGGGTAGAACAGAAACTATCACTTACAATTATGTTTGTTCAGGCTAGCCAAGTTTCAGACCTATCGTAAAGTTTTTACTTAACTAAGACTTAAGCTCGTTCTTATAAAATTACACAATCAATGAAAAACTGAGTAAAGAGTCTAACTCAAGATGACCATTTAAAAATTACATGTTTTGCAGTGATAAGTCTTTGACATCTTAATCGTACTCCGTTTCGGATTTCTTTTTTGCTAGTTAAGAAATTTAAAGATGCAGATTAGCAGAGAATGAAAATATTGAGATACACCATTGACTTACAATTATAAGTCAATGGTGTATCTCAATATTGGTGCTCGAGCCATTAATTAGCGAACAATGTTACACGGTTCGTAATTTTATAGTCCAAAAGAACAAAAAACCATTGAACAAAATAAATAAAAATGTTTTTTTTTTTTTAAGTTCTAGATGCAAATCAATTATTTGCTTTAGATCAATTATTTTACTGTTACTTGGCAATGCAAAATATCAACGCATGACGTTCGTTGCATTGTGCGTTTTATACACGTGGCGAAAAAAGCAAATACTATTCAAAATACGCATAGCGCTCTGGTGTCAGGACTTTACAATACTTTTAATAAATGACAACAAATTGACTTTAAGTGAACATCGCGTCAATGGGTCCACGACTCCACATCCGTGCAGTCGTTGTAGTAAAATGCAATAACAATTAGTGGTATTTGTGGCAACTGGAGCGTGAGAGGAATCCGGCGTACGGTAGTGTTCGTGTGGTGGGCACAAACAGGGCTCACATCAGCTTCAGCGCCCCGTGACCGACTGTGAGTGGCTGAGGCTATATTCATGTTTGCAAAGGGCAAGTTTTCGAAGCTGGTCTGCCTTGTGATGCACACATACTTTTTAACAAAGAGCAATATTGTATTGCGTCAATATGATGGAATCACTTTCTCCTATACACAGTAACGTATAATCAAAATCTATTAGCAAATTGATAATTTATTAGCAGGACAGATGACGTTTCGTTATATACATATAATGCGACCCCATTTTCTCAACAGACATGATTGTGACTGAATGTCGGGGGAATCGTCAAAGTAATGAATTTGATCAAACATTTAATTTCACCGGAAATTACTGTACATTGCGTGAATGTCAGTATGTGTATATATATATGTGTGTGTGTGTGTGTGTGTAGGTCTATTCAATCAACGCAAAATGAATAAATTAGGTTTATATTTAAATGTTATGTTTCGTATAAAAACGAAAGGTACCTATCTACTATTCTATCTACTCGTCGGTTTATGTGATGTCGATTGCCTATAACAAGTTTTATCGGAAACATCGCATATAGAGTAGTAAATACTATGTGACAGGCCATGACCTGCTTCCCATCACTGGATAACTAGAGGTAGTAAATCTGCCGAGCATCTCTCTCACACAAGCGTTGATTTATAGTTAATCACAATTCATAATGTTCGCACGTCAGATTAATTTTGACAAAATATCGTTTAGGCAAGATTTATGCCGAGAACGTAAATAACATCAAATCGACCTACAAATTAAATAGTCATGGTCTGCATACGAAAAGGATAAAACAGATGACAAGAGAGAGATGAGATGGATGGACAAGGAAGTAAACAAATTGACTCGTGAAAGTAGAACCTTAAAATCACTTCTAAGTGCAGAAAACAGGACGCAGATTTAACTCTTCAGCCGACGTCAATAAAAGATATACCCATGTTCAAAGCCACCAAAACTGTGACTAATTTGTCTTAAATGCGTAACATGATGTCATTCAGTAAAATCACACACAGTTGTGACTTCCTCAACAAAACTGTCCTGACAGTTTATATATGTTCAAGACGTTCCACTTAGCGAGTGGTCGAGCAATCACCAAGTGGATCTGGACGGTCTGTACTAACGTACTGTACCCATCAAATTACGTTCGCAAACATTGTCGATGCTTGGGGACGGTGATGTCATCCGTCGCGCCTGATGGCTGCTCTACGTCAACACCTTGCTTGGATAATGATTTACTACACCATACATAGGCAGCAGTATCGCTTACAAAGGAAAGCCTCTACAACTTGAAGCGATTGACAGAATAGTTATGTTCTATTGAAATAAAGAGCGTGAAATGATCGTAATAATTCAGTAATAATGTTTTACTTTCTGCTTACTAAAACCTAAATAACTTACTTGTTGTGCTACTTGTGAAGATTTGTAATTAGCACTTTCACCTGTAATTTAACATATACATATATCTTTATTGTTGAAAATTAGTTATAAATCTCCCAAAAATAAATAAATAAATGAACAGCACAACCGGATTTTCTCGAGTAAGATATAGTTAAACATCGAAGTCTCGGGTGCACAAATTGTTGTCACATGTATCTTTGTTGCAAGGTAATCGCCACAAGTCATGACCGGCGTCGGGCGAGGACGTCCTCGACGTGTGACTCATAAAACTTCAGTCGTTTTAATTGTTTTTAACGACATCGACCTTACTTCCTCTCTGCGATAATTCTTTGTAAAGCGGAATTCCTTTTCGAGACGATTTCGAGTAAAACCCGACATAAACTATCAGAGGTTACTGACTCTCACACGACAAAAACGTCTTTGGGTCTCAAAATGTTTATTGTAAACATTATGGAGGCCGTTAAACAGACGTGACTACTACTGAATTGGATCGTCGTTCGATACATCGTACTGAATCTTAATACAGACGACAGTAGCAGAATCGTGAGTGATCGAAAGATACGTGACGTCCAAGCACTACTTAGGCACTATCGCGCGGGCATCACAAAACTCGTAATGTATAATTGAAGAAGAATCTTTTTAAATGTAGCTTTTTGTGGGGTCGACATGCTAAAACCGTCGTCAAAACTTAGATTATAAAGTTAATCCATTATTGTGAAAGCGACAGCTTTCGTTTGTTACTGTCACTTCACAACAGCTAATAGCTGATGACAATTAGATGAAATTCTGTGGAAAAGTTTTGTTCTTCATTGAATTTTCGCTGGTGCAGCTGGTCGCAGACCGTGGGCACGAGGGCAGACGAGACAAACTTTGTGTGGAGGATCCGCAAGCACAATCGTTTTGAGTCGGATTGATATTTCACCATGGTGTCTACATCAGTCGACTTGTGTCCTAAAACGGGTCAAGGACTTCCAAATTGACCACTGCAACTCGGGTAAGGGGAGAACACCTTCGGCTGGGGTAATTAAATCAATTGGAACATCGAGTATGGCCAGCCAAAGTTTGCATCACATGTCCATTGGGCTATTTTGTATGGAACACAGAATGTATCACAAATTAGTACAAAGCTTCTCTTTATATGTAAAACAAATGTAAAAATTCGATAATTCAACATACTATAATAATACCATACAAAGACGAAAGAGATTAATGTGCAAATAAAATTTGTGTCGCATCTTTATAAATGTCGCGTTTAAACGTCATCTCATGTAGCGCAAAGAATTATAGAGTGATTTATATAGTAAGAGTGAAGTAGAAACAATTTAAACTGTATATTATATATATATCTCTGATCCGACAAGATATGTTCGACATTAAGCAGCACCCAGATGTGATCAGTGAGGGTTAGTTAGATTGATAGAGTCAGAGCGACATCCGCGCACTGCCTGAGTCTCCACTCGTTTAAATTTAGAGACAGACATTGCAACTGTATAGTATTATAGATATTTGCATTCAGTTAGCAGACTAATTTTAGGCACACTACTCGCGTATTTATAGTTTCGCTATCTACTTTGTTGTCTGAAGTCGGTGAAAATATAATATATAAAAGTTCAATAAACTTTAATCTGTCAGGTGATGTTTGTTTAAGTATTTATAATGACAGTGTTGATTCAAAGGTAAAGGTGCCTTGTAATCGAAGTTGTGTGGGAGGGATTACTTCTTACACTAATGCATTGTGTATTTAGGACAATATGCAAAAGTGTATCTGACACAAAAGCCACCAGACGGTACCTTTTACCCACATATTGCATTATATAAGTTATACTTACCTGCATCATTATAAATTTTATCTTCATGAATGAATCTAGCTGAATGTTAGTTTGAATACTATTGGTTTAACACATAGAATATATCCCCTAGCTAGGCATATTTTCTACAGAAAATATTTGTACAATATTTAAAGTAAAAAGATGAACTTACTTCACAAATATCCCAAGCATCTTGAGATTCCATTATTTAACAATGTTGAATAAGTGTGTAAATTTTACACAATGATAATGTAAATGCAATTTTACACTTTTTTTGTCTAACTGACCACCCAAAACTATATGTTGTATAACAGAAACAGTACCACCTTAGTCATTACAGTTCACTAGATTTATAGCATCTTTTGGGTAGTTAACTAAAATGTATGATTGTCTTTTCATAAAAAGTGTAAAAAAAAGATAAATGTTCAATGGGGGTTACCATGAGGACCACATTAACACAATGGCTTCAATAATTGTCAAACAAAAACTCCACATCTAGTTTGTTTTTATTACCTGCATTACATGAACAATGCCAAGTTTCCATTCCCACATTATAGAAATTATTTTAGCACGACAATACAATAGAACTGGATTATTGAGAAAATTTATGCTTGGAACTAGGTTTAGTTGGAGTGGTGGTATTTTATGAGTGCAGGGAAAATTAAGAACATTCTGATATAAATTGGCCAGAATCTCATTTCAAAATTGCTTTGCCAATCAGTTTATTTCTCATATAAATATACACGACTGATTGGAAATATTCTTTACACTAATTTGGAATTATACAGTTGTTTGACCTAACATGTGACATTATAATAACAAAGCAAAAAATTACAAATATTTCATATTACAAAATTTCATTATTATTGGAAAACTAGCTGATGCTAGTGAGTTTGTCTGCATATAAGTACTTCAAGTAGCCCACTGTACTATACTAATGACCATAGCATAATTGGTTATTCATACAAACTTTTATCCCTTATAATATGACCCCTTCTAAGATTCATTTTTGTGACAAAAAATAGCCTAAGTTCTTCTTCTAGGTACCATCTATCTCTTTACCAAAATTCATCAAAACAGTCCAGCGGTTTAGGCATGAAAACATAATAGACAGTCACTTTTGCATTTATAATATTAGGTCGGACTATAATTAAGCAAGATGTAAGTGGGTAATGTAAGGGTTATGTTTCACGACTTATTTTGTTAATTTGAAATGGATTGATCTGAATAGTTGGAAATAAATTAAAAAAGGATTTTTTGCTTTCATAACAGTCTAAAGCTCTTTAGAATTTACAATTGGTAAGGTTTGGAAAGGCGATGAAGCAAGAATTCTTAATGATATTTCAAGTACATGTAACATGTTGAATGCAACTATTTTGACAGATGAAACAGTTGCCACCAAACATTTGGATAATATCTACTACTACAGGAATGGATGTACTTGAGTATATCAAATAAAGTTACTGTACTAGGGTGGCTTATTTAAGGCATGTGCAGCTCCTCATCACTGCAACCAGTAATTGACCTAAACTGATCACCGCTCATTAAAACTCAGTGCCAAAGCCAATAAATAGGATTAAAGAATAGGACTTACTTAGCTCTGCTTGTTTTTACCTTCTCTGACTGAAACTTATGTTTGGCCAATAGGAAGTTTATCAAATAAAGTTACATTTCAAAGACTACTTGTTTCATTTGTGATACCAAGGCATAAATTCCTGGACATTTTGAGGTATCATACCTATTAACTATGCATTTTGAGATACGTTTTTATCAAGTATCTCATATGAAGCAACAATGACATGAATTACCTACAAGTTGCCTCCCAGTTAATATTCAACCTAACAACTAAGTACCAATATGTACAAAATTTTATCAGAAAATATACCAAGGCAAACAGTGCAGCTGAAAAACTTTTAAAAAACTTAAACATTGTCTTAGAGGGTATATTAGGGCACATTCTTCAAGCTTCGAATGTTTCGTCGCCAGTTCCAAGATTGACAAAGCCTCCGTAAGGAATTTCATAAAGGCATCAAGGCCCCAAATTGAACAATTTACTTATGAAGTAACAACTTATGTATAATTGGTGTGTTTCAATATACAACAAAAATGTCATTGCAATTCTTGCAAGTAAATTGTAAACAACAATGAATTATGGTTTTTATGATATATTCCACAAATGTGGACGTTTCATCCCGCCTACAATCTTGTCGCAACTTCAAGCTTGTACTCATACCGTGTCAGATAATCATACCGTGTAATCATAATGGAATCAAAAACATTTTCACTTACCTGATAACACGTGTATCAGATAACACTGTAATAATATCAGATAATCTTCACTTCATTATCAAATCACTGTCCATATGAAATAAGGAAACTCGTAAACACACAACACATACGTCACTCGCAGAAGTCCGCCATTTTATAAATTTTATAGAAACAATGTTGTTACAGTAACAGTCTGGTATACTTCTTACCACTAATACTAATAGCAGTTACAAAATTAGCTAATGAATAAAAAGAAATGGATGGTCGATAATTATTATTGTACTTATTGCCAATTCATTTGCTCTCGAAATTTTTCATTGGTCATTTTATTCTATCCCAATAAGCATATTGAAGATATCATGGAAATGGTGATATAGATAACTTTTTTGTAGATACTGACATTGTAATACAATTTCGTTGGTAATCCTTAGTATTTACCAAGAGGAATAAACCGATGAAGATATAAATGAGTCACTAATACTTCAAATATTATATGCTATAGTTCCTATACTTCAAACTTTGAAAATGCAAATAACTAGTGAAATTGAAATGAAATAAAATTAGAATATATGTGAACTCAAAGTTGGGGAATGGCCATGATGATGATTATACCAACATTTTAATCAATTTAATTTTGTCTATTAATGAACTAAAAAGTCAAAGAAATCATTTCTTAATTTTCTTAATATTTTCAGTGTTTTTCATAATTTTTTACTTATATTAGACTAAAGTCAGAAAAAAATTCGTTATACTAGAAGCAGCGGAATAAAACCGAGAAATTAGTATTTGATCACCACGCCTGTAACAAATAACTAAACGTATTTCATCAATTTTTCACATCAAGCTTGTGACTTATTTAACTCGTTACAATATATCTAAATAACGCACACACTCAACATAGCCCCGCACTAGGGAAACCCTGTGTCGCGGGTGCCATGGACACACACATAGACAACCACAAATTACACCCAAACTCACGAGAGAAATAAATGTAAACCATACAAACATTTCTCCCGGCCCGGGAATCGAACCTGGGACCTCTGCGTGGCAGTCCGGCATGGTAACCGTTCGGCCACAGAGGCAGTTAAATTCATTCATTCAAGGCAGTCTCAATTAATTTATTCGTCGTTATATTACCAGAACTACAAGGAGCGATTTCCCATATTTTTTAAAATTTTGTGATTTATCTAAATAAAATGTCAATGACTAACCAATTAGGTTTCACCGTTGGTCGGTTTCTTGACATCGTTTTTTTTTGTTTCTGAATAGTTGTTGTCCAATAATTTTAATTCTCGTTTTACTCTATATAACTTGCTTTTAACTATACAATATTTTTTTATTAAAACCTCAAAAGATATAATATTATCTAAACTATTACTCGAAGGCTTTTATCATGTTTTAGATAATATAATATGTTCTAGATAGCCTTCGAGTAATATTTATACAATTTTTCAGAAAATTTTCTGGAAAAATATTCACTGTTCGAAATTATATGACAATATTCCCGAATAATATTAATTTTACTTTTTACCTTATTAAAATAAATAAATGCCTTTAACCGTTTTTCGATGATCTAATATTAATACTGACATCACTACATGTTCCTTTTTAAAGTAACAGCAATGCATATTATACAGCCATCATCGGTGTATGAACTGAACCGAAAAAAGTATTTTTGAACGCAGCCGTTCGAAAATAAAATGTCAAATTAAATTTTGAGGTTATATTGATGTTTTGCAAAATAATTTCGAAAAAATAATGCAAAATGATTGCTAAGAACGGAAAATTATTCACAAAATTCGATTCTATTAGGTCTTCTTTTAATACTTTAACTAAACGAAAGTCATTTAAATACGGTTTACCATTCTTATTGTTCGTTGTCGGGGGATCTTTTGGTTTACGAGAATGGACGCAAATAAGGTTAATGTTTCAATATTATTAATGACACCACAACATCAGTCAATAATTATCATCAACTGTTTTTGTGGTACTCCAAAAAATGGTTTTTGTTCCATAATCGCTGCGTTGAAAACAAACGCGTTGACTATCGCAAATAGTCTCAATCATTACTAAATCTATGGTCTCAATATACACTGGTTGACGTCGCAGACATTCCTGTATTACTCTACTCTTTGTCGCAGACCATTGTTTCGTCTCTTTCTAAGCCACCCGTGGATACATGTTTGTTTATATCAATAGCCGGAAACTAAACTAATTATGAAATGATCTGCAATATAATATTATTTAAGTGTTCTTAACATCTATGTGCACTCTGAGTAATAATTGACATTTTATGTATCCATCTCCAATTACATACATATTAGACTACAGTTTCATGCATCTAGAAGCCTTTCAAGTATAAGAGGCTTGCGTTTATTGAATTAGTATTGATTATTTACTAGTGTACATTATGACTGAACTATATAAATTATAATGTGTGCATGTAGATTATTTCTTAAAATCTTTTGTTTTACGCAGACACTTTATGGCCCCGTGTACATGTAAAACACCGTTAATTGTCTAGTTGTAACAATTTTCATGAATATTTATGTTGTGTAACACAAAAGTGTTTTAATTTTAAATGTTCATGCATACACAACTGATCCATTGTTATTATCACAATGATAAACTCTGGAAATTACTACAAATTGATTATTTTGATAACACAATTATTGTGTTAAACTACAGATAAACGATGACCGCACTTTGTCCTACCTACATAATGTTACCAAATGTAACATTTTAAATTTTGTATGATTGCACAACATTTCCCCATCCATTATTGTGCTTTGGCATTAAAATACTAAGTCACAGGCTATTATTACCTTTCAACTAAACCAAATCTTGTAAACTGAGTATTTATAGTAGGTTTTTGACTATAATGAGTATTTAGTATTAAAATTGGGTGAATGTTTATAACTATAATACTATTTGGGGAATGTGTATGTGTCATAACTCATATTTATCGCAATTTTAGGTATGGATTCTCATGATTCAGCTAGAAATTGGTTGTTTATAAAAATTAATGCAAATAGATACAGTTTGTTACATTCTGGTGTTCATAAGATTTCCTGGAAGTCTCTTAGTAAGAGCTCCTACTTTTGTTATACTTCCTATATGATGTCCGCACATTGGTTTGCTACGCAAGCACGAAAGATGTTTGTGTCTATAAAGTACAGGGTCAACTGCACATCAAGCTTGACACTTAAGACTTGAATTCAACTCTATTTCACTTACGATAAGAATGGCCCAAAGTGCGAAGTGTCAAGCTTGATGTGCGCTTGACTGTAATGTAGAATGGTTCAATCAATAGCTATTATATTTACTGAACGCTTAATAAGCGAAATTCTTGCGATTGAACGTTTATAAGCTAAATGGTTAGTTAAATCGATGGACTGGACCTATAGTGTTTTAGTACGAGTATGATAAGTCACGGTGTCACGGTGTCGACAGCTATTTCACCTTAAACCGAAGTTCAGTCCAAAAGTAGTATACATACCTACTTGTACATATAGTAATGACGACATATTTGGTAGTACCTATGTATGACACGATTTGTTTCAATATCTGTGATTTCCATACATAGTTATAGAAGAATTTCTATTCAGCTGCATGCAAATATGTTATGTAGCAAACCTCTACGTATTGTTTAGAATTGTGTACCTAAAAATACCACGCTTGTATAAAATCATATGTACCATGTACATAATTTAATGTAGGTAGGTGTGGAATTAATTAATAGGTACACATTTTCTGCTCAGGTATCAATTTTCACACGTAAAAGGAGTAAGCAGGGAAGAAGCAGAGAAAATGGGTCTTCGTAAAGCTAAGGAAGTCACGTTGGAAACAGCATACGACGAAATTCAAAAACTTGATGTAGATAATTGGGAAAACAAGCGAGGCCCTCGACCTTGGGAAGATGCAGGAAGACAAAAGAAATAGTATCAAGTCTTGTTTTAGTAGGTATTATATTAGTATTGTAGGAAATATTTTGTTATAATAAATTATAAATATAGGCTGTCGATTTTGATTTTATTGTTAGGTACAGTACTACCTTTTAACATACCTACGCAATATACATCATGGTTTTGCCTCGCAACATAGATGCTGTAACATCAAGTCCTACTTTAAGCAGGGTACTCAGGGTAGAGATAAGGGAAAAAATAGGACTTCGTCAGCATTAATTAGTTAGGTAGACAATAAGGGTGGATCTATTAGTTAATTATATCGCATAAATGTTAATTAGAACCACTACTTTTATGTGAAATGTGATCAAAATACGCTGACATTTTATATACCTAATTATACTACGTTTAAGTATAATAAATTATTAATTGACACCACGACAATAGTTCTAGAAATATCTATTCGCACAACGCAACGTTGTTTTTCTACGCCCTGTTTTTAATTTGCGAAGGAGAAAGAAAAGGCCACGCAACATACGTCTATATCATCTCCGAACTGCGCATGACGCATGACCTGTTTGGGTGTAAATGTTCTCTATCTCTATTTTTTACAAGAAAAATGAAAGAGATATTTGCGCATACCTCGGCTCTTTCCGCCTGAGTATTGATTACGCCACGGAAGAATATAAAAGGATTCGTTACTCATTGGCCACCGTATTTCAAAAGAAGAATTCGAACGAAATAGTGGACGTTTTTGCGAACTTCGTTTCATTTATTCAAAGTTGTTTGTTGGAAATAATACAGTTTGCTAGAAGTTTTGTGGTATACAGGACTAAATTTTTGTGACTTTTTAGGTAAGTAATGCTATTCATTTCGCTCTATTGTTTTAGAATTGCATCTGAAGGAAAACTGAAATGACGTAGTATTTTATTGATCTTTGTCCGGAGAATAGTGACTCCGCCATTTTGGTTAAAAATGGTGTTTTAGCTAAACATAAGGTTCATTGCTTCAAGATTTCATATAGGTCATGATTATTCTCGTGTGTGATTAATGAGAGGCTTTTTGGAGCCATTTTCTTGTATTATTGAAGTGACCTCATTTCAAGATCTGCGTCACAGGAAATTGTTTCATTTCACAATAATTTTCTCATCCTACGTAATAAATAGCAAGCAATAAAAAACTATACTACGTATTTATTATTTATTTTCAGGACAAAATGCAGATCTTTGTAAAGACATTGACGGGTAAGACCATTACCTTGGAGGTGGAACCATCTGATACAATTGAAAACGTAAAGGCTAAGATTCAAGATAAGGAAGGCATCCCTCCCGACCAGCAACGTCTCATCTTCGCGGGCAAGCAGCTAGAAGACGGGCGTACTCTGTCGGATTATAATATTCAGAAGGAATCAACGCTTCATTTAGTGTTGCGTCTACGTGGAGGTATGCAGATTTTCGTCAAGACTTTGACTGGCAAGACTATCACCTTAGAAGTTGAACCCTCTGATACTATTGAAAATGTGAAGGCCAAGATTCAGGACAAAGAAGGTATCCCTCCAGACCAACAGAGACTGATCTTTGCTGGCAAGCAACTGGAAGATGGTCGCACCCTTTCTGACTATAACATTCAAAAAGAATCCACACTTCATCTTGTGCTTCGTCTCAGAGGTGGCATGCAGATATTTGTAAAAACTTTGACTGGTAAAACAATCACATTGGAAGTAGAACCATCGGATACTATTGAAAATGTAAAAGCAAAAATTCAGGACAAAGAAGGAATTCCACCTGACCAACAGCGCCTTATCTTTGCAGGAAAACAACTTGAAGATGGTCGCACATTGTCAGACTATAA